GAGAAAGCGCGATTCCTTACCGAGGAGGAGAAGGCTGTTGCCAAAGCGCGTGGTGTAGCACAGGCGGGTACGGGGACTCGAATTGGAAGCATTGAGTGGAAGGAAATGCTGGAAGCAGTACTGGACTTGAAGAGTTGGGTCTTAGGCGTAAGCAGAGTAAACTCGTCAAGTATGTCGACCGAACTAACGATTTTCAGATTATGTATTTCTCCGGCAACGTAGCATTCTCATCGCTGCCGGTCTTTTTACCTACCATCCTTACTGAGATGGGATTCTCACATGTGAACGCACAGGGACTTACGGCACCTCCTTTTTTCGTCTCGTTCATTACTGTCATTGTGACTTGCTACATTGCCGATCGCACACAACAGCGCGGTATCATGATCGCCATACTCACAGCAATCGGCGGTGCTGGTTATATAATCCTGGCTACGACTAAGGCTGTGGCAGCACGATACTTTGGAGTCTTCCTGGCTGCTGCGGGCATCTTCCCAGCCATTGGCAATGTTCTGCCGTGGATCACGAACAACCAGGGTACAGATACGCGGAGAGGTACTGGCCTGATGATGGCGAACCTAATTGGGCAGTGTGGGCCGGTACTTGGAACTCGGCTGTATCCAAAATCAGAGGGGCCGCTGTATGTGAAAGGTCAGTCAATTTGCGCGGGATTCATGTTCCTCTTTTGCCTGTTGGCTATCCTGTTGAGAACTCTACTTGCTTGGGAGAACAAGAAGCTGGATAGACGATATGGGACTTTGGCGCAGCAAAAGTCAGCGATGCAGGAAGCTGCAAAGGGCAGGGAGGCAGTCCATCAAATCGGACTGGAGAACTATGGTCCAATGTATCGATATGTGCTGTAGTGTGACCAATAGCAAGATAAAATGGCTATCATGGCGTTCAATGGCGGTATGCACCGTAAGGTTGGCGACATGTGAAAAGCAATGAAGAGGGGACTGGTTCTGCATGCAGCGGGTGGTGGAGCAGGGGCATGTAGCTTGGTGTTGTTTTCCTGCATCGTTGGAATAATTGCTAGCGATGTAGCTATATGATAGATAATTCATCGAGATGGTTGTGCAACCACGTGCAAATCTGTATCGAGTCAGTTCAAGGGCGAGGAAATAGTAGCGTGTTTGAAGCTGGCCCCCGTCTGTCCTCGGCCTGTCCGAAAGAGGAAACAGCGCACACGACGTCTGTTATGCGCACCACCACGGCGAAATGTCAGTCAATGCCATGTCCCCATCATGGCAATCTGGAGGCTGGCCCCGAGATCAGCGTATCCAAGCGCATGAATATCCATGGTCATCTTGCAGGGCACCGCCAAGGCACAGCACCCGCCGGTTCCCAGTGTGCGAACTGGCAGAAGGCTAGGCCAATGATTAGCTGCTGGGCGCACGCACCGCAGCACTGGCCCTCAATAACGTCACTGCCAGATTCTGGATGAACATGTCGTCTTTCGCTGCTCGTCCTCCTATGCGCTCCTACTTCCAGACGCCTGCGTGTCTGTATCCCAGTGGCCATCCACTGTATCTATACCCCCTCACGCATCCACAGTAGCTCCACCATTGCTGCTGCTTCGAGGCGCGCCTTGCTGCAATGCCGTCCAATTCCTCCACTGGGCCTGGACCCGCCAGCGCTGCTAACTCAGGTCATGCTTCGTACGCGACAGCTGCAGCCTCGGATCCTGTTTCGCGCCAAGGACAAGACGCTGACTCTGCTTCTGCTCTGCCCAAAAAGAAGAAGAAGACGCATCGTGGCGGAAAGAAAAGGCGCAACCGTCGCCCATCCTTTGCCGCAGGAGCCGATCTGCCACAGGCTGACTCAATGGATGAGCGTCCCACCCTCGCCAGCGCCGCCAGTCATGGCCAGTCACGAGGAAGCAGCAGCTTCTACCGCACCCACAGCAACCTCAGCAACACCAGCCTCGAGAGCGAGGCTCTGCTGGACCACCGCGAACAGCCCACCATCCGGACGCGTCGTCCGAGCGTGCCTGTGACGTCCATGTACCCGCCTCGGGGCAGCCAACCTACCCCCAACCCTCAACGCCTGCAGCCCTTGAAGCCAGGAAACTCGTATGGCAGGTCGCGCCTTTCACATGCCCCCGACCTGCTTCACCACAGCGATACCGCCGACGACGACGAAGACGACGACGACACCAACGACAGGACCCCCTTGATGAGCTCCTCTGTTCGTGACATCAGGTCAGGCACAAGCTATGGCTCCAACAGCGGCAATGCACGTAGCAGGAGCGGCACGTCCTTGTCTGCTCCCAAGCATATGACGATGCCTGAACACCGACCCGACCTCTTCACCCAGCACCATCACTCTGCCACAAACCTCAACGACTACGATGTTAACAACCCCCCGTCAGTGCCCACCAGCCCGACGTTTGAACCCCACTCCGGGCTAGACGATGTCATGATCCCAACAGATCTCGACCACATGTCTGATCCCGGCCGGCCCAGCAGCAGGAGTCGCGATGCGTTGATCAACATAGACGGGGACGAGCATGGAGGCTCACCTCCTTCTGCTGGCGACTTGAGACGTCGTATGACGACAACGGCACTTGAAGATGTCTGCTTTCCACACGAGGCCATGTCTGAAATAGGACACGAGGATTACATGAACGCGCCGACGACTGGTGAACCGACGAGTCGACGGAGACGCCGCCGCTGGCCTGATCTCGACGTACTACAAGCCTGGGCAAACCAAGAGAAGGAGCAGCGGACCATGGAAGGCATGCGCATGCGCAAGGTTAGCGAACCGCTCATGGTCGAAGGTCGTCTGCGTCCCAGACGGCGCGTCTGGCACCGTGAGGCGAGCGATGCGCCCTATCGGTTCACTTATTTCAACGAAACCTTTGACAATACCATCCACAGTCAAAGCATCAGCGAACTGCTGCAGCCCGGTCAAAGTTTCCGGAACCTGTTTGTCCCAGATCCCCCAATTATCGAAGACACTAGCGATAGCTCTGATACGGAGGATGATATGCTACACTCGGGTACCAATGGACATAGTTCGCGATCGGCTTCCAAAGTGGACGGTAAGCACTCTTCTGGAGAACAGACACGCTCCACGACGCCGCGTCCATCTGAAACACCCAAACGCGAAGACGAGAAACCGAAGCGCTACGGCCCACGACCTGCGTGGTGGCTGGATGTCATGTCGCCCACGGAGACGGAGATGAAGGTCATTTCCAAGACGTTTGGCATTCACCCCTTGACATCCGAGGACATCTTGATGCAGGAACAACGCGAGAAGGTCGAACTCTTCAAGCACTACTACTTCATCAACTATCGAACATTTGAGCAGGATGAGAACAGCGAAGACTATCTAGATCCCGTCAACCTGTACGTTGTTGTGTTCCGGGAAGGTGTAATAAGCTTCCACTTTTCCCTGACACCGCACCCTGCAAATGTTCGTCGCCGCATCCGTCAACTGTCGGACTACCTTGTTCTGTCGCCTGACTGGATTTCGTATGCCATAATTGACGATGTGACGGACGCGTATGCGCCCATGATTCAGAAGATCGAGGAAGAAGTCGACGATATCGACGAAGCCATTCTACGTCTTCACTCGAGCGATGAAGAACAAGAGGCGGAGAAGGAAAAGAGTCATAGCTACAACAACCCACACTACAAGGATCCGCCTGAGGTCAAGTCACAACAGGACACGGGCCGAGACATGCTGCGTCGGGTAGGCGAGTGTCGAAAGAAGGTGATGAGCTTGTACCGGCTGTTGGGCAACAAGGCCGATGTCATCAAGGGATTTGCAAAGAGATGCAACGAGCAGTGGGATATTGCGCCTCGCAACGAAATCGGCATGTATCTTGGAGATATTCAAGATCACATTGTTACCATGACTGGCAATTTGAGCCACTATGAAAAGTAAGTTTGAGAAGAAGTGGCTTGCCCAAGGTGCAAACTAACGAGGAGTTACAGTCTTCTTTCTCGCGCCCATAGCAACTACCTGGCGCAGATCAACATCCGGATGAATGAGCGGCAAGAAAAGACGTCTGACATTCTAGGCAAGCTGACGGTGCTGGGAACCATTGTGCTGCCCATGAACGTTGTGACTGGTATCTGGGGCATGAACTGGTAAGTGGATAACATTGCATGGGGGGCCAAGATGAGTTGCTGACCCAAAGCTAGTCTTGTGCCCGGACAAGATATTCAAAATCTTAACTGGTTCTGGTCCATTACTGGGGGCCTTATTACGTTTGGTCTGGCCTGCTACTTTATTGCAAAGCGGGTTTACGGCATTGTTTAAGCAAGAGCGGCGTAAGGAAAGTGTGCATTTCCTAGGGGTTTGTGGACAAGATGTTGCAACCCTTTGGCGTTTGGGCTTGATATACGTCGTGATGGATATGGCATTGTTGTTGGGGGTTTCTATGGATCGAGATTGTACATTGTTCTTCTGTTGTTACCCTAATAGAAGATTTCGGATAGCTGCGGCGTCTAGTAGTATGTTATTATCATCATTCTGGCTTGTCGACTATGAAGAGGGATTGATGTTGAGGGGCCGTATCAGCGGGGTTAATGCCACAAGACGGGAAGACGCATGGGTTGGTATGACATTTGGCGCAGTAGATTCTTCAGTAGTGTTGTGGTTCCGGTGAGCAGCTGATGGTGGCGGAGGCTGATGATATGTACATCTGTCAAGAGCTGTGACAGGAGCTGAGCAGTGTACCATGAGACGCCCGAGACCTGAACAATCATGCCGCCCCCAGCCTGCTGCAGGCTGCGGACCGTTGGTCATGGAAAAGAATGGACTCATTTATAGGACATTTCTGGATCGTAATAGTGGCTCTATTCCACGTGTGCTATCCGCAGGGCTGGCTGCAAAAAAAAACACTCGACCTGTTGAGTGGCATCTTCTGGAACGGCCCGTGGGCAGCCTTTGGGTCGATTGGGCAGCCTCTGGAGGGGATCAGGAAAAAAAAAAGGTCGTCTGATGTCTCTCTTGGATGCTGCCTTGACCGTACAAGCGTACGCAAAGTCGAATCAGAGGTAGTGGTGATGCATAGGGCTAGCAGCGTGACCCCAGAAGTGTTGGGTCGCCTCACTGCTGTTAGGCGTTAGCAGCATGTATGTAGGTGTAAGCTGTGCAGCAGAGAGGGAGGAGATTGTGTTTTCTTCATGGCCCCTCTGGCAGTTGTTGCAGCAGACCATTGCTGAAATAGTCACCGTCGACCATGGATCCGAGGCGGGCCATGAGGGCGGCGTCACAGGCATCAAGGCGTCAGACGGTCGAGGCGAGGGCGTGTCAGCGGATCGAGGCGTTTGCAAAGGCCGCGTGCACATGGTCGCTGGTCGCTGGTCGCCGGTGGCAGCCTCATACGGCATGCGGGGCTATATGCGACGGAGGCATGGCGCAACGTCCGGTCACTTTCTTGAGCCCACTAAAAGAAACTTCTAGCGAATGTGGCAGCGTGCAGGCACCGGTTCGCATGATGCTACGGCCGCTCTCCCGCTGTCGCTCCACGCACACGCACACACACGCACACGGCAATGGTAGGGCTGCCACTGCGCCCACTGCCCGTTGCCCGCTGCCCGCTGAGGGCGTGGTTGCACCCATCCCGACGTGCACTGCCCCTGCATGTATGCCTTGGACATATAGTATACTTACATATACAAGCCGCAGTATACTGTAGTAGCCATGCACTACTTCATTGGCCATGCAGAGGCAGAGCATTCGCGCCCAAGGCCCATGTCTGATTGCATCCTGGTCGAGGCCTGCGGACAGTACCCCCATGACGTCAACCGGGTGCTGAGTTCCAGCATCTGGGCAGTCGAGAACCCAACCCTGTCTTCTGACGCGATCCGCTCTCCATGACACTTGACGTCGTCTGCCTCGCTGCCTCGCTGCCTCGCTGCCTCTTCTGCCCTCCCTCTCTTATTACCCCGCCGTCGTCTGCTATTCCACCACAAGTGCCAGCATTGCCCATCTCCCGCCGTGTACCTGCGTGGGCTGATCCCCCCCCCCCTCTTCACCAATCGACCACGACTCGCAATCGATCGACTGGGGGCCTGCCTTTGACAGTCACATCAGCAGCGCCTTGTAGCCGCTGGCTGAGTAATAGCCAGGCATCACATTTCCTGGCCGACAGCCACTGCCCGCAACAAATACCGTTTTGCGCCCACTTCCGCCTTGACCACAACTTACCCCACCACTCACCCCTCAACCACTTTCCCCCCTCCCCCGCCGCACCCATGTCCGTCATCTACAAGAAGACAGAGCGCGAGCGCGAATGGGAGACCGGCTCATCGCGCAATGGCGGTGGTGGCTACACCACAGTCAGGCGCTACAAACTCCCTGATCGCACCCTCGAGGAAGACACATACGAGTCCGAGATGCGGCTGGTCCAGCGCAGCCGCAACGACTTTGACGACCACCGCTCCGTCAAGGACTACGTTATTGAGCGAAGCGTAGAGCCTGTTCGTGAAGTCCGACACTACCACTATGCCGAACGTTCGCCCTCACCACAGCGATCCGAGTATCGCATCCACCGCGAGTATGAGCGTGAGTACGAGCGCGCGCCCTCCCCGGCACGCACTGAAATCCGCATCTCGCGGGAATATGAGCGTGACGAGGAAATCTTCCCCCGAGAGCAGCCGTACGAGTTGGAAAAGTACTCCAGGTCCACTGAGTATTTCCGCCCTGAACCGCAACCGCAGCCACAGGCCCCTCCCCAATCCATCTACATCCGCAATGAAGCTGCTCAGCCTATGCAGATGCAGATGCAGCCTATTATTATCCGAGAGGAGGCTCCTCAGCCCATCATCATTCGTGAACGCGTTCCGGAGCCCGTCTACGAAGAGGAAAGGCCGGTTGTTCGACAGCAACAAGAGCAGGACTACTACTATGAACGTCGATACAAAGAGATTGACCGTGGAAACCGTCACGATGAGGAACAAAACTACTACAGCGACGATGACGTGTATTATTACAAAACCAAGGATACCTGGGGCGGAAGCGAAACGCGCGTCAAACGTGACGTCGCTGCAGGTGCCCTTGCTGGCGTCGCTGCTGGCCAGATTATCAGACATCACCGCAAGAGAAAGGGTGAAGCACCTGGCGGCTCCATTGGTAATGCCCTTGGCTATGGCACGCTAGGTGCCGTGAGTGCCGTAGCTCTTGACAGGTTCAACAACCGTTCCCGCTCTCGTTCCCGATCTGTCTCTTTGGACAGGGGTAGAGAGCACCGACGTCACAAGTCTCGTCACCGCAGCAAATCCCGTCACCGTAGCAAATCCAGGGCCAGAGAGCTTGGTACTCTTGCCGCTCTCGCAGGCGTCGGAGCTCTTGCCTACGCTGCTGGGCAAAGGAACAAGGCCAAGATGAAGGAAGAGACGGTCACAATCATAGAAGATCGACACCGCAGCAGATCTCGTCATAGGAGCAAGTCCCGCCATAGGAGGGGCCGAAGAAAGTCGAGGTCCGTCTCGGTGGTATCAGACAGGAGTAGGTCTCGTAGTACGAGCAAACACATGGACCCCGAGCACCGCAACAAGCGAGTAGCAGAAGTTGGCCTAGCTAGTGCTGTTCTCGCCGGCCTTGCTGAACGCCGGCGTAGCAAATCCCGGAAGCGTGAGGGAAAGCGCTCTCCAAGCCGCATTCGACAGGGTGTACCAATCGCTGCCGCCGGTGTTACTGGCGCAGCTATCACTGGACTCTATGAGAAACGCAAGGCTAAGAAGGAAGCTAGGGAAGCATCGCGCTCGAGGTCAAGGTCACGTTCCAGATCGAGGTCAGTCCTCTCCCGTCTTACCGGGCGCAGCCGTAGCAGGCGTCAAAGTACAGTGAGTGAACCAGTCTTAGTAGAGTACGGCGGTGATCCCATCTACACCGATCGCCCAGCGAGAAGTCGAAGCCGTAGCCGTAGCCGTAGCCGCAGTCGCGACCGAACCCGCTCGCGCCGTAGACGACGACGAAGCTCTTCTTCTTCTTCTTCTTCGGGCGGTAAGAGCCGGAGCCGGAGTAAGAGTCGGGCACGGGCGGTTGCAGAGACGGCAGCAGTTGCTGGCGTTGCCGGTTTAGCTGCTCATGAGGCAACAAAGAGAAGAGATCGTAAGAAGGCCGAAAAGGAAGCCGAAAGACGACGTGAGTCCACCCTTCGCCCATATCGGAACTAGTTTGCTCAAGAATCAACAGGCGAGGAGGATTCGGCATACTCGACTGGCACCTACGACAGTCCATACGGTAGCCCTACCGCATCCACAGCCTACACCAATGATTCACGCTACTTCCCTGAGACGAACTACTTCCCTCCACCTCCCAACGCACCCGCCGTCGATCCCAACGCTCACAGTCCTTACCCACCCTACAATCCAGCTGACTACCCCCCTCCACCTAATACCGCTTATGAACCCAACCACCCTTCACAATACATCCATCCGCCTCATAGCGATGTCCATGTCGGAAACCCCTATGCGCCTCCTCCTCCTCAGCCACACGATGCTTACTATGGCCAACCCCGTCGTACGGACGGTAATGTGAGTGCTCCAGCCCCTAATCATATCGGTAACGAGCACAAAAACTTCGCTTCTGCACGTGGTGGGTTTGGGACGCTGCCAGCCGGTAGTGCTGAACATCATTGCTGATACGTGAATAGGGCCCATAGAGAAGTCTCGCAGCCCTAGTCCAGTTCTTCCAACTCCTCCCCCTCCAGAAGAAGAGAAGAGTGTCAAGTTCAATTTAGAGCCGCAGGAGGAGCCCGCTCGGGAACCTTCGCGAGAGCCTTCTCCTGAGGGTGACGACAGCGACCAGGAACATCGTGGGCACAGGAGACGGAGGCGACATCGAGACGATGATAATTCACAAAGTTCGAGGGAGTCTGGCAGGAGCCGTAAGAGACACCACCGAGACGAATCTCCTGGATCGGATGCGTCTGATGCGACGATTGAGCTGCCACCACGCTTCGATGAGAATGGGCGGAAGAGGCCTGAGGATCCGCTGGCTGATACTTTGGAGAGCGTTTTGGCTTCGATATTCCGATAGTGTTTTGTTGGCTTCACGTCTTTTAATACCTTTCTTTGGATACCAGATTTTCTTTATTTTAATGACTGTTACGATGGGCTTTCGGTATGTCTATGATGATGTTTTTGTTTGATGATTGTTTATGTTTTGCGTCCGATTAATGGTAACGAAGTCACGAAACCTTGTAGACTTATATAGCATTGATATACCAGAGGATGGAATAACACTTGATTTGTATTTGTTAAATTTTCGATATTGTTATCTTCCTACGAGCCGGGAAATTGAAGCCACGTAGTGATCGGTTTCATCCACAAGCTTCAGGTACACTTTTATGTAGCTAGTTGGTTCGTCGTTGGCATGCTATGTGTATGTTACTACTTGTTATGGTGGTGTGAGGTTCCAGGTAGCATTGGTAGCTTCCGGTGCGTGCCTTCCCAAGCAAAGCGTCGTTACTGCTTCGTACAAGTATTCCACCTCAACACATTTGCAGACCTTACCTTCTCAACCTCTCACTTTCTTCCTAGGTCTTTCCTCTCCTTACACTTCCATCCTCCGCTTGACCCTCGAATCAACCCGCCGCAATGTTCTTACACGACTATTACTTCCTCCTCCTCGCTCTCCTAATGACCCTATGCCTCGCCTCATCCACCCCCTCACCCTTCTCATGTACTGGGTACATCCCCCCACTCACCCACCCACCCGTTGCTCATATCCCTTTGCTAACAGCAAATAGTGGCTCCATGTACTTCACCGCCCACACCGTCGACAGCCTGCTCTTCCAGAACCCAGACATCCTTCATGATCTGTTCGTGTTCAAGTGCGTTACTACGGTCGTGTTCAATGCGGATACGGGGGGTGAGGCGGGAAATGAAACGAGGAGGGAAGAGCTGGAGTATGGATTGGGGAGTTCGTATGAGATTATGTCTAGTGCGTCGTTAAGGGGAGGAGAGGGCAGTGGTGTTAATGGGTTGGAAGAAGCACCCGCAGGTAAATCACCACAAGGACTGGTTTCTTGACTGATTCTAATTTAGAAATTACAGTTCGTAACAACACGACGATTCGAGTCGGAAAGTATGATATCGCTGCTTCGCCTCTTCTGGGGCTATCCAACGTCCAAATCCTGTATCTTCGTTTACCAGACAGCACGTATTACGGCCAGGGATACAGTGCTTACAGAGAGCAGTCGTTGAAAATGCTATACAGCGCAGACATTTCTCACATCAAAACCACTGACGGGGCCGCTACGTATACTATCAGAGACTTGAAAGACATCATCGCCATCATCCTTCAGGAGAGACGTGCAGACGATATCCACGTACTGAATTACCTGGCGTCTCTCTCGACTGGCCAAGACGACTATCAACTCGAACACGCTGACCGTATCATATCTGCCAAGCTCGTAATGGATGTTGTCAAGGAGGAGGGTATTCAAGCGAGAGTTGTAGCGTAAGTGCTTACTCGAGTTTATCAGGTTGTGTGCTAAGAATGGCAGACATGGCTGTGACGAGGTTCGTAACCAGGAGGTCAACCTCAACACCCCTGATTACATCAACAAGCTCAATGCCTTTTTCGAATATGCCAAATACGATCCTGACATGGTAAGGCAGGCTTGTCTTGTGCTGTTTATGTGGCAACACGTATATCAGTTTCGTGCTAACATATCGATAGTGTCAGAGTGTTGACGAGTGTGGAGAGCGGCTCTCAAATGCAGATACGTCAACTAGTAGTTACAATGAGTACGACTACATATATGAGTTCCTAAAGCGGGAGTATTACGTCACATAATGCTGACACACAACTCTTGAGACGAAGGGGAATAATTCACTTTGGGAACGTGCTTAAAACCAACAATATCGACGGATCATATTACCAGAATAGATTATATCTCAGATGTTGGCCAAAGTCAAAGTATAGCTACTAAGCGATGTGTACCACAAATGCAACCAAAAATCCCTCGATTGATCCTTTGTAGAAAAATGAAAAAAAAAAGTAAATACATGTACAAAAAAAGGATTATACGCTGAATTCTCCCCTTCTCCCTTACTCATCCTCGTTATTCTTCCACCCCATCTTGCGCTTGGTATCAAACTCATTCTGAGTCATCCTCCTAGCCGGAGGCGTCTGCCCCTTGGAAGGAGACCTGGGCGGCGTAATTGTCGCACCCTCATCCTCCTCGGGCTCCCACGCCCGGCGCTTGGCGAGCATAGCCTCGAGCTGCGGGTCTCTGCCATCACGGTTGGGCACGGGAGGAGGCGGTCCCTTGCGGGAGACACTTGGCTTCCTGAGCGGCAGCGCTGGTCTAGCATTCTCCATGGCACTGGGGACAGGCTTGACCTGGCCCTTGATTTCACGCACAATGGGCACGTCGGAGACGGGGATTGCGCCGCCGAGACGGACCATGGGAGCGGGTGTGGTGGGTGCAATGGGCTTCGCGGGGGCGATGGGGGTCTCGGGTATGTCCTGGGATTCGTGGACGGGGACGGCTCGGCTTCCCAGGCGGAAACGACCGATTTTTTGGTCGCCGACGGCGGGGAGTGAGTAGTTGATTTCTTTGGCTGGGGCCGCTGGCTTGGGGGCGGGAGGCGGTGGTGGTGGGGCGCGAGCGGTGGATTTGTTGACGGGGGATCGGGGGGCGGTGACGGGAAGAGGCGGTGGTGGTGGCGGTGAAGTAGCCTTTCTGGTGGGAGGAGTGGCAGGTGGTGAGGGAGGCGAGGATGACTTTTGAGGGTAGTTTGAGCTGTTGCTATTGTGGCTGTTGCTGCTGTTGTGGTTATGGTTGTTGTTGTTGTTGTTGTAGCTATTGCTGCTGTTGTGGTTGTTGCTGTAGCTATTGCTGTGGTTGTTGCCGCTGCTGTGGTTGTTTACGGTTGTGGTTGTAGTAGTGCGTGATGTGCTTTCAATCCAGGACTCGATTCGGCCACCGTTTTGTTCTCGTGATCCTGATGACATCTATAGAAAAAGTGGCATGTTAGTAAAATATTTAAAACACTTGTTGTATAAGCGAGGCACAGTTTGGAGTGCAAATTCTTCACGTACCTGATCTTCTTGATAACTCCTCTCCGAGCGTATTAGTCTCGCAGATTCGGCCAGAGCTCGCTGTATTTCCTCCTCTTCTTCCCGTTCTCTCCGTTCAGCTTCTTCTCGTGACTTTGCCATCATGAACTCCATGTCCTTGTCCATTTGCAGCTGGATCTGTCGCTCATACTCTTCTTTACTTTTCCTTTCCACTTCCCTAGTACGTTCCTCGGATGCCCATTTTTGCCTCTCTTGTGCCCTTTGAGCCTCTTCGCGGCGTTTCTTCTCAGCAAGTCGCTCCTCTTCTTGTCGATGCCCCCTTTCGAGGACCTCTCGTTCTCCACGGCGCAACTCCTCCTCCCGCTCCTTGGCTTCTCGGCGACGCTGCTCGTCGTATTTCTTTTGCTCACGCTCTATCGCCTCTTCCTCCCTCTTGCGAGCTACACTGAGACATCGGTTGCATATGCCTTCACGGTCCCAGGTCTTGATAGTGAATCGATCTTTGTTGTTCGGGTTGTCGCGGTCACAGTGGAGATTGCTTCTTTGGAAGTATGGGCATCCGTATGTGTCTACGTGGTCCTCTTGCGGGTGCCCGCATTCGAGCGTAGCGATGGTGAACCTGCACATGCTCGGTGTATATGGGAATGGGGATGGGGGTGGGCAGGCAAATGTGTACAAGGTGGAATTATTAATGTGCAAGTGCGGTGCTATAAGAGCTCCGTTAAGTAGATGTAGTGGAGAGAGAGAGAAGAGAGGGATTGGAGGGTCTGCGAATCATCGACGAACGGTACTTATACATGCAAGATGTTGACCGCCGTGGGCCTGCTAGTGAAGTGCGGTAAGAGCGATGACCTTGTACACGTAGTAGCACAATGACTCTGAAACACGCCTCGAGAAAGTCGCATAGAAATCCTGCAGGCTCGAAGACGCCAAATCGGACACTACAAACATGCGTACAACACATCAAACGGCTAGCATGCCCGCGCACAGCGCCGCGGGTGAGGCGAACAGAGGCCGATTGGCTACGGGCTGCAGCATCGTTCCACCGGTGACGGGTTCAGAGGCATTTTACTGTGCGTTGCTTTGCCCACTGAAAGTATCCTGAGGACGCTGCAGGCTCGCAAGGCGCACCCAGCGTTTGTAGTGGCAGACCCACTGGGCATCAGACGTGGTAGACCGCCAGAGGGACAATTCATTGGTCTCGCTCGTGCTAGGCAATGAACCGTCCCCGGCCCAAAACAGTCATAGCATCGGAAACTGCCAGCAAAGCCATGGCCCCGCAGCCTGTGAGGACAGCCTGACCAAAGAAAAATGAAGCATCCGACTGTGTGGTGAGCATGAGCAGCATGGCCAGAAGCGACAGTGTCGGTGGAGCTTGCTACGTGGCGGGCTCAGCCGTAGTGGGGATGCATGCCCTGCCACACCAAGGGCAGAAAGCAGTGTGAATCGAGCAGCACGGCCATTAGAGTCGTGGAGACCCGGGGAACACGCGATCGAGCAGAAACGTCGGGCATCAGGAAAACATGAAGCCCATAATGGCAGAGGAGTTGACGATGACAGAGACAGATGCTCGTTCGGGCTGGCACTTGGTGGAGACCCCAGACGCAGCCAATCAGAGCGGGTTGATTGCAATAATCCCTGCACGGCTTGGCACTCTCGACGAGCTTCATCGTTGACGACTTCAATCGACGCCATCGCCTCCCGCCCGCAGTCACAACCCACCATGGCCTCAAGACTGGTACCCTTTGCCTGCCGAATTGCCCCACGCGCCTCGCGACCGTTCCAGAGGGCTCAATGGCGGGCCTTCAGCGTCTCGCGCCCCGCGTGGAATGAGAGCGGCTCGCTCAACGTCGTATGTACTTTTTGCCTGCAACCGGCAGCGCTCACAGACAAAACGGGGAAGTGGGACTAATTGCGTCTTTTGCAGCACCGCGACACGCCCGAGAACAATCCCAAGATTCCCTTCAAATTCACGGCGCAAAATGAGGAGCTCATCAAGGAAATCGTCTCGCGGTACCCCTCGCAATACAAGAAGGCAGCCGTTATGCCGCTTCTCGACCTCGGTCAGCGCCAGCACGGATTCTGCAGCATCAGCGTCATGAACGAGGTTGCGCGGATACTCGAGATGCCGCCAATGCGTGTATACGAAGTTGCCACTTTCTACACAATGTACAACCGGGACCCCGTGGGCAAGTACCACGTCCAAGTCTGCACAACTGTAAGTTTTTAGGAATTCAAACTTTGCAATTGGAACACGGTGTTGATATAATGCTAGACCCCTTGCATGCTCTGCGATAGCGATGCCGTCATGAAGGCTTGCGAAGATACATTGGGTGTTCATCACGGAGAGACTACGCCAGACGGCCTCTTCACATTCACAGAGGTGGAATGCCTCGGTGCATGTGCGAATGCCCCCATGGTTCAGATCAACGACGACTACTACGAGGACCTTACATACGACTCGACTGTCAAGCTCCTCAAGGCCCTAAAGCACTCCGCCCAAGCGACAGGTGCTCAGTCCGGTGAGCTACCATCGCCAGGTCCGTTGAGCGGACGGCAGTCGTGCGAGCCCGCCGGTGGCTTGACCTGCCTGACCAACGAGCCGTGGGGCAATGAGACTCTGAGGAAGGACGGTGCTTTGTAAAAAAAAAATGGAAAAGAGAGATTGTAAATAATGTGCCATCTTTCTTTCTCGCAAATTTCAAGCAATAGTCTTGGAGGTGGCTGATATTTCCAGCTACTTTGTGTAGACTATATTTCAGACCGTTCAACAGCACGCATGTGGCACTTGGCTGTAATTGAGTGATCATGCTTGTATCTTGATATTCCCCCTCGGCCTTGGCACGCTTGACGTAATGGGCTTGACAATGGTCTGCGCAAGTACATCTATGTCTGCTCACGCACACCAATTCAATGTCGACCTAAAGACACTAGCACCTTTAATCGTGCATGATATATTGAATTTCTTCTATTCGCAAGCGTATTCCTAACGCATACTCGAGGCTGTCATTTGTTGTACAGGTAGTATGCCATCTCGATCCCATATAATCAGTCGGGACTCGAGATGCGTCTATGTGTAACGTAACCCATTTAGCCCTCCTCTCCTTGAAGTGCTGTCCATTTTTTTTCTGGATAGAGAGAAAATTAAAGGAGGACTTCGAAGCAAGTTTGAAGAGAAAGAGAAAAAAACGTAGATACAAGGTGCAGTTTGTAAACGACTCCAGTTCAAAAAAAGAAACGCCGTCGCTATATTATCCATCAAGGGAGGGGGTGCTAAAGGGTTTCCCCGAATCAAATCTCCAAGCCGCGCTAGTCCCAATGCAATGCTGGTTTTCTTCTTTTTTGGTGATTTCCAGAATATTCGTAATCGGTTCTGCTCATCTTCATTCCCGAAGGTGCGTAGTTGTTGGTTTGGTCGTCAATATATAACCGTCTATCCGAAGGGGTGCTTCGCAATGCGATGCTTGCATCATGTTGATGCTTAGAATCGGTTGTTTTTACAAGAAGCCCGAGTTCCATTTGCCCATAAGCAAATCTCGGGTCATTTCGAAGCTGAGCCAGCTGCTCGCCATGCTGGGCGCAACCTTGAGCAGATTAGGGACGATACCCTTATACATACCCCTGAGGCCTTCTGTCTTGATGATCTGCTTGACAGCATCGCCAACACCTGCGTACTGGTATCCCATACCGCTCATAGTATTGACCTGAAATCTTCGTCGCAGGACGTCAAATGGGTATGTAATGGTTTGCGCGACAGCGCCAGAAACTGCACCGGCTGCCAGCTTACCGAACGCACTGGGGTCTTTCTCGCCATCGTGTGTGAACTGGGTACGGGCCATTTCGTAGACCATGAAGTTGAGGCCAACATATGGTGCAACACCAGCTACCGTAGGGAGGATGCCGCGATACAGCGCCGGCACTCCGCCTTCGGTCTTGTACATGTTCGCGAGGAGTGCCCACATGCCCGGTAGTTTCTGGCCGGCCTCTTTCTTCAGGCTCGAGAATGATGCCGACTGAATCGACAATCGCGTGCGGACGATATCAAGCGGATACGTAAAGGTAACAGAGGTGATACCGGCGAGACCTCCACAGAGTAATCGTTGGTAAGCATCGAGCGGTGCACCTGGCTCACTCTCGAAGAACTAATACAGGTTAGCTGTCATAATTGAGGGGATTGCGCCGGTGTTCATTGTCCTTGTGCGACTTTCCCAATTCCCACCTCCTCTTCCTCCGCCATTATACCTACGTCAGCCCTCCGCCAACTTACCCTACCTAGTCTTCGCTCCACATGCGTCTGATCCCCTCATTCCACCAATTCAAAAAGCAAGTCGCTCGCCGGAAAACAAAGGAAATAGCAGAAATTCACCTACCCGTTTGTAGACGTTATACGAACTGAATTGCACAGCAGAGTATGGAACAATGCGTATGCAGTTTGTGCCGTTTCCGGCCATGAAGCCTCTCCAGCCCTCTTCCCTCCACATCTTGGCCAAGGCCTTGGGCACTGACATTTTATATTCCTCGCGACCGACACTCTGGACTTGAAACAGAATCTTGAGGCGTTCGAGGGGAGAAACGACGGTCCGGGAGACTGCGCCAGCCACGCCGCCTGCAACAAACGAGGCTAGGACCGGCTGCGCAAAGACCTGTCGAATGCGCTGTAGGCTGGTAATGTCGGGCGTACCGAGAGGCTGTATGAATGTATCAATTAAAGTGTTGAGAGCATGGACTGCGCTGGTACATACCTTTATACCGTTTCCTGGCTCATCGCTCATGATGGCGGCCCCCTGTGGTTGCGGCTTTTCCGTGGATTTGGACATGATGTAAGTCTAGACTGGTCGGAGTATCACACTGGCGGGAGGTGGAGCGAGTCTGGTGCTGCCGGAGTAAAGGCAGGGTTTTATCGAAGCAAAGAAAAGGCCGCGCGACGTGATTTCGAGGTCATCGGAGGTGACTGTTTCGGAGGTGTAGACGGTTTTCTCGCAGTGAGGCGGGCGGGTACGGTCAATTCGCGGTGAATCCGATCTTCCATGCAAGGCAGCTAGACGGTGACTGTTTGCACTCCGGGGTGCGTGTGTCTCATGGGTCCTGCGGCGCAAATGAGGTTGCGGTGTTTGAATGGGCTGGATGTGGAGATTTGAGGACAGCGGGAGGACAAGGCAGATTTTAGTCTAGCGCGCCGCGAGCCAACGAATGTTGTCCGCAACGCCTTTATAAACGACCACGGTACTCGCTGACAGCCGCGTCCGGTACTTCGCGATGTCATACTTAGCCCCGACTGGCACATGTTATCCTTTTCCGGTTGCAACATGTCTGCCGTGTTCCGCTGCCAATGAGCTACAGGTGCAGCGCACGCCTCCCTCACCGAGTCAATCGGACTCGGATGGCATCAAATTACATCATGTCGTACAGTCTTGGGACGTGGAAACCATACACATGCTCCCGTCGTAGGCTAGCCAGGGGAGGGCACAAGGGCATTCTAGAAGAATCCGGCCTTTCGCCTCACCACCCCTTACTAGGGCGTCATAGTCAGCTGGGCACCACATCACCCCTTTCAGTCAGCCGCCTAGAAGCCACATATGGTTGTTTCCACGCGTCCTGTCTTGTGTCCTTGTGCTGTGTCCTTCCGGCGGTGTGAGCCGCTATTAATCCTTGTGTTGCTGAACAGTAGTAGTGGTGATTTACCCCGTACCCGGAACGCTCTTACTAGTACTCCGGTATGACTAACATGACGATGTATCAAGGCTTTTGCTCCAAGGGCCGCACGACCCAATGCCAAGCTGGGAAAGTCTGTTGTGGAGAATACACGAGATAGCGGGGTAGTACACGAATCGGCCGTGGAAGGGATTCCGTCATGGTTTGAATATCCCGAGGTCGACCTGGAGGATGCGATAATATTTCGGGTGGTTGGATGCGAACGGCGCAGCCACGAATCCCGGCTGAGCTTAGAGGGAACAAGATAACTTCTGGACAGAGTTTGTGGTTGTATTCAATCGTATGGCCTCTACAAAGTGTCTCCTGATGAATACGAATCGATCTGGAGCTGGTTTGCTGCGTGATGTTGAGACGGTCGAGGTACCATGCGTACCCGTTATCGATAAGTAGTCAAATCAGATTATCTAGCCCGCAAAGAGCGAGATGTGAAATTCTTCCTCTGCGTCTTTACAATGTTATCGCGTCGCCTCTTTCGGCAAATCACTGATAGCTTACTATTGGGCTCTCGTGTTTATCCAGAAGTTACCGTGTGTTTTGCTTCAGCATGTTCGACGTGTAGTTCTCGTGCTCATGATATTTTTGCACAATCGATACGTCATTCGTCATCGTCCTCGACCAGATGGAAATCACGACAGGGCAGGGACTTTTTTGCCAAGGAAGCACGAGTTCAAGGCTTGAAGAGCCGTGCTGCATTCAAGCTGCTTGAGGTAGAAGCGTATCACGGTAAAGACTGGGCAGTGACTAATATATCACAGCTCAATGGCAAACACAAGCTATTTAGACCTGGGCAAACAGTTGTTGACTTGGTAGGTCTGTCCTCTGCATTGAGTAGTTCAAAGTTAACGTCACCAGGGATATGCACCAGGGTCGTGGTCTCAGGTTTGTTGGTTGAATTTCCTTCTTTCAGCATCATCTCACGCTGATCAGGTTGCCGTGAATCGCACATCTCCAGATGGGCGAGTCGTTGGCATCGATCTCATACC